ACTTTATTTACCAAACCAGGCAGTAGATGGATTTGGCCAGTAGCCTGCCAACCACTGCCTACAGAAACCAAAGCCCTAATCATCATCTTCTACATCTAAAATAAGTTAGCATTTTTTTCTCCTAATGCAGACAATAATAAAAATTATTTAGTGGTAGACGTCTCCTCAGAAAGACCATGTTGATTTTTCAACATCATACTGGTATTTCAAGCAAGTATTTGTTGACTATGCTCCATTCACATTGACCTTTCCATCCCTTGAACATGTTCCCACCCCAGGACTTTTGCACTTGCTGATTCCCCAGCCTGGAAGAGCTACCCCCAGACTTTTCCATGCCTGCCTTCTCCTTGTCCCTCAGATCTCAAGCAAGGGGTTTTCCCTGGCCAGTCTAGCTAGGTAACTCCCACTCCCCATCGCGCTCTATCACATCCCTGGTTTTACTTATTTGAGGTGATAAATGCTGCCTTTAAATGCTTTACGTCTTTGTTTCTTTGCACAGTGTGTTTTCCACAGTGAGAAAGCAAGCTCCTCAGGCTCAGCACTTCCCCTGTCTCGTTCATGACAATCCCCCTGGAAATCTGCCAACACAGTTAGTCGTTCTGTTAAGCCCCCATCAGCTCTCATGGGCCTGTGCAAACACAGTTCTCCTTGAAGCAACGCTGACCGAATATCTCGGACTTGTACCCTGCTGATTCACTCTTTCTTCAGCTATTTACTAAGCACCTATTATGTACCGGGCACCGTTCCAAACTATCAGGATACGTTAGTGAACACAACTCAAAGAGCCCTGCCCTGAGGGGTTGACATTCTAGCAGGGGAGGAGTGGGAGTCAATGAACAAAAAATACAATATAAGGAAATTATACAGAATGTTAGCAAGTTATCAGTGGTATGGAAAACAGAAAAGTCCAGCAGGGGGCTGAGGCGGGCCCCACCAAGCAGTGACATTTGAGCAAAGACTTGAGGGAGGTGAGGGAGGTGGCCATGTGGATCCTGCGGATGAAGGTATAGGTGATATCTATATGGAAGGGTCAGGGCAACAGCCCTGGGGTGACAGTGTGCCTGGGATGTGCAAGAAACAGCAAGGAGGGCCGTACGGTTAGAGCCGAGATGAGGAGGGAGAGAGAGGAAAGAGACGCCGTCAGAGAGGCAAGGAGACCTGACCAGGTAGGGCTTTGCAGGACATCCACTGGAAGGATTCTGGATTTACTCTGAGTGAAACGGGGAGATGCTGTTTTGAACAGAGGAGTACCATGATCTGGCTGCTTTGTGGGAAACAGACAGACAAGAGGGGATCAGGGTGGAACGAGGGAAGGCAGCGAGAAGACTCAGAATAACCCAGGTAAGAGGGCATGGTCCAAGTCCACAGTGGCAGCAGTGGAGGTAATGAGGAGTGGTCAGATCCTGGATAAATCTGGCAAGTGGAGTCACCAGGACTTCCAGACGGCTTGGATGGGGCGAGAAGGAGCGTGAGAGAAAGAGGGGAGCCAACAATGACTCCAGGGTTTCTGACCTGAGCAAGGAAGGATGCGGCCGCCCTCGAGTGAGCGGGGGAGAGCTGCACTGTGGAGATGCAGATTCTGAGTGGAGAGATTCAGTTTCAGACATGCTACATTTCAGGTGTTTCTCCAGATGGAGATTTTGAGTAATCTGTTTCTGGAGTTCAGCACAAAGGGCTAGCTTGGAGACACACATATGTGAGTCATTGCCTTATAGATCCTACCTAAAGCCACAAGACAGATGAGACGGCCAAGAGAGTAGAGACTGAGAAGGGCAGGTGACCGGGAACTAGGAGCTGGGGCACATCAGGGTGAAGACGCAGGAGGAGAGGAGGATCCAGCAAGGGAGGCTGAGAAGGAGCTTCCAGTGAGATAGGAAGGAAGCCAGGAGACTGGTACTTCAGAAGCCAATTGAGGAGGAGGGAGCATCCCCTCTGTCAAAGCTGCCGATGGGTCAAGGGCGGTGAGGACTGAGGACAGGCAACTGGGCTGAACAATATGGAGGTCACCGGTGCCCCTGAGAAGCAGAGCTGGTGGAGTATGCAGGTGAGCTAAGCTGAAAATAGTTAGAGGAGAGGGCCTGGAGACAGACAGCAAGTAAGGATACCATTGAGAAGTTTTGCTGCAAAGGGAAGCAAAAAAAGGTGGCAGCTGGTAGACAAAGGGAGCTCAAAAAACTTGTTCTTTTCTTTTTTGTTTTCTAATGATGGGAGACATCATGGCATGTTTTTGTGCCAACAGGAGTAATCCAGTAGAGAGTGAAGAATGGATGATGCACGACAGAGAGGAGAACCGCTGGGGCAGAGTTCTAGAGTCAGAGAGAGGGGGTGAGACCTAGTGTACAAAAGGAGAGCCTGGATTTAGACAGGAGCATCATGGTGTGAGGGGCATGGAAATGTGGGAACACATGCTGACAGGTGAGCAGAGGGCGTGAGAGTCTGAGGATGTTTTCTTCTGACTGCTTCCATTTTCTCAGTAAAGTAGGAAGCAAGCAGTGAGGATGGGAAAGGCGGTGTTGGGAGTTGATGAAAGAGAAGCTATCAAGGAGTCCCTTAGGAGAACAGGGGAAAAATCAACAAAAGAGAGAGAGTACGATTACGTATCAGCATGCAGCGTGTAGCGGAGATCTCAGTATAAAAGATAAGCAGACCTGTCCAAAGGGTTAGTTAATTGTCTTGAAGGCATTTGTTCAATTGCTCATAATCTTTTTTATCATCTTCTCCCAGCAAGTACAAATTTGGATACTTCTCAGAGATGTAATGAAACAAATGTTAATATTTGAATCTCAAGAAAAGTGCTTCCCAGGAGATTATGATCATAGCCGTGAATGTGATACTTTATTTCAAGTTGTGAAACACAATCTACAGCACAGTAAAATGGTCAGTGGAGAGCTATTCAATTTTATCCCAAACCTATACTGGGATTTGCAATCTTTTCCAATAGCCTCCCATTTTGTTACCTAAATCCTCAGTTCTCTCACCTTGGGTGATGAGACGGGGCGAGGAGCCAGGTGTATCCCAGAGGGGGAGCTAAGAGGGCACTTTCCCTTCGTGTCACAGAACTGATGCAGAAACTTGCTAAGAATTGACTTAATGACATCTAATAACAGACCTCCAAAGCAAAATGAGATAGTGGACTAGGGCGCCAGGAAAGAGGAGTGTATGCTAGTAGATAAACAGACAACGAATACAGATAAATCCATAAGGTGAAACCTTATTTTGGCTAAAGCTGTTATGTAACCCATTTTCACATGCAAGACAACGTTTTACGGCTGACAGTGCAATATTTAAATAATCAACATGAAGCAGCTCATTCTCTCTTCCTATCTCAGTTCTAAAAGCCTTAACGTACTAACGAGGCTGATAAACACACACAACACTAGAAATCAATCTGGATTCGGCGAGTTATAAAAATTATTTCATCGAGCAATATGTTGTACATTTTATTTACTCAATGGAAACAAAACTTGTCATCCATAAAAATATCCCATAAGTACCACATAGGTGCTTACTTACAAATAACACCACCACCAGCCCTTTAAGAACCCACATTCTTTCAATGACACATGACATACCCTTTATGCCGATGCTCTTTGGGTTAAAATGAAATGTTTCTAATCCAAAAGTCATCTAGATCGTCAACAAGTCTTAAATGATCTGCACAAACCAATTCAACCAAACCAGAAATCATTAGAGATTCTGCACATCACTTCAAGTTCAAACTCAGTTCTACCAACAACTTTTAAACAATTTATATAAAAACACCAATTTCTTGGCGCTGGCCCAGTGGTGTAGTGGTTAAGTTTGCCCACTCCACTTCAGCGGCCCCGGGGTTCACAGTTTCAGATCCCAGGGGCGGACATACACGCTGCTTATCAAGCCATGCTGTGGTGGCGTCCCACATATAAAGGAGAGGAGGATGGGCATGGTCGTTAGCCCAGGGCCAATCCTCCTCAGCAAAAAGAGGAGGATTGGCAACAGATGTTAGCTCAGGGCTAATCTTCCTCACCAAAAAAAAAGAAACAAACAAAAGAAACCCCACGAATTTCTTGGATAGTTGTATCATTAAAGAAGTAAGAGGTCCAAAGTACTTTTAAAAGTACTTTGCTCCATCCGACCTCTCACAGGCTGCTGGAGGGAGCGTGAATTAGTACAAGCTCTTTGGAAAACTGTTTGATCCGATCTACTAAAGCTGAGCACACAGGAAGCCCCTGACCCCGCAATTCCACTCCTGGGTATATACGGAGAAATGCACAGATGTGCTCCAAAAGCCTCGTGTAAAAATGCTTGTAGGAGCGCTTCATTATATCCCCAATTTGGAAACAAGCCATCGCCCAGTGACAGTGGGGATGAAATGCGGCACGTTCATGCACCGAAACACTGAACAGCAAAGAAAAGACACAAACCACCACCATGTGCAGCAACATGAGTGAATCGCACAGACACAACATAGAACAAAAGAAGCCAAATACAAACAGTGTATAATACAGGATTATATTCACATAAGGTTCAAAAATTGGCGAGACTCATCCATGCTGTGAGAAGTCAGGAGAATGTCAACCACGGGGGGAGCCTGGAGAACGGGAAGGGGCTGGGGTAGTCTCTGAGCTAGTAATTTTCTGTTTCTTGACCTGGGGGCTGGTTACATGGGTGTGTTCACTCTGTGAAAATTTATAAAGCTGGGCACTTACGATTTGTACACTTCTCTGTATATACATTTCAATAAAAAGTTTTCTGGAAAAAATAAGCTACTCCAAAATTCAGAAAATATCCTTTAAAAAAAAAGACCCTAAAAGCAATAACTTAGTTTTTATGTTTACTGTTCTATGAAAATTAATCTTCGGTGTTAAAAACAATTGTTTCTATGGAAGTATTACCTTACATGAAAGAGAAAAAGAAATATTTAAAGGATTATCCCTTTATACTATAAAATGAGAATATCAGTTATCCTTACGTCCATGTCACAGTTAACAAACAAATAACCTTTCTCAGTATCAACTTACCTGAGTTGCTTTGCATAGCTGAGTTCAATCTCTGTCCTTTCCTTTACAAATTTGATGTATTTCTCAAGAATGTCAATTCCACACTGTGTGTGTTTTTCTAAGTTGTCAAATTGATCCTGTTAAAAAAAACAAAGAGACAGTTTATAATCTATCTCTGTGATTAACGTAATTTCAGTGAACAATTCTCTCAACAATATATTGCTATGTAGCAAGCAGTTCTAACATTTTCCATGATTGTACTTGGGCACTTTTTCTGTTGAGCAGTTTTAAATCAACATTACCAAATTTGGTTTGAAAACTGCCTGGGGTACTGAACTCTGAACCATTTGTTCATGTTCTCCATTCCCATTAGAAACATGGTTTTTGGATATAATCAAGGTCCTAGAACAACGGAAAATGTCTTTTCCAGATACCAAAGTAAAACACACACCCACATTAACTCAGTCACACCATTTGCACCTGAACTGTTATCTCTGAGTTATTCAAAACAGCTTATTGAAATTTGGGGAAAGGAAATGGGAGGGAGAAGAGTTACAACACTGCTTTCTTCAAACAAATAAATACAATGACTCACACGGACTTTATCCAAACATTCAAACACACAGATCAAGCCTACATGGTGTGCCAGGAATGGTGGCAGGAGCTGGGCAACCCAAACGAACAGAAATACAGCCCCAACTCGCAGAGTGCCTGGAGGTTCCTCGTCTGGAAGAATGAGAGGGGGTGGGTATTCCAGCAACAGCTAATGCAAGGGCATGGAGATGTCCAGGAATCAGGTGGACTTGTCCCGCTGGAGTGCGAGGTGGGGGAGGGCACAAGGTAGTGGGTGATAAAACTAGAGAAAATCCGGGGTCCTATCACCCGAGGCCTCGAATGCCGAGCTAAGGAGCTTAGACCCACCAGTGGGCACAAGTGAGTCACTGAAGGGCTTGCAAGGGGCGTGGCAGGACTATAGCTACGTCTAGAATCATCAGGAGATGGAAGTCAGGAGCTTGTTCAATAGTCCAGATGAGAGAAAATGGGAGCAGGGGGAAGGATTTTACAGACACTTAACATTCATTTCAGTCCTAGTGACCGATTGGATGAGGAGGCTGGAAAGGAATATGAAGAAGAGAGAAGATTCTAGGGTGACTCCCTTCTGCTTCCTGTGACTAGACAGACGGAGGGGCAGCAATTTTGGATGAAGTGACATGTGGAACGAGGAAGTGACATTTCCAGAAGAAAGCTGGAAACAGATCTATTCAGAGCTCAAGGAGGAGGCCAGGGAGCCGGTGGATCTGAAGCAACAGCCAAGGATCAGGATGCCAAAGTCGACTGCAGCTCTGCACTGAATCAGCAAAGAGGGCAGGCCCAGGCTGAGAGCCCAGAAAGGGCTACCGACAGTGAACTGAGCGTTAGCAGGCCATCCCGGGGAAGAGAGAACGGCAATGAGGCAAAGATGGGAAGTCTGCCCGTGAGAGGTAACACTAATAGAGGATGAGGGTTCAGCCCCAGCTCTGGGACTTCACAGAGAAAGGCCACCGAACATCTCAAGGTTTTAGTCATTTGCCTATAAGATGCAAAAATAACCCCTGCCTAATTTCACAGATCGGTCATGAGCATCATGTAAAATGAGAAACTGCCAAATCAAATATAAAAACACAAAGCCTCAATTTAATCCTATGACACGCGTGTGCGTTCTAACAGTGTACATTCAGTGTCACCCTTCAGCTGGCTTTTTCAATCTAGCATCTTCAATCTAAATCTGTCATTGTTGTTTAATTCTATTTTCCATTCAAAGCAGTACAAACTGTAAAGTGAATAAACTTAGTTCTATATAAGTCAAACTTGGGTGGGAGTAGGCAGGCGGCAGAATCAAAAACACTTTTTCTCAAACTCGAGAAACCCTCTTTTGAAGGAAAATAATTTCCTCCACCTTACTCCCACCCAGGCTCATAGAACAGTTTGAGAAACATCAACTTAAGCAATCAAGGTTTTATTTTACTAGAATGTTTTTCTCATTAAAAATAATCACTAAAACGTTTGCCTTTATACCTCAGAATTTTTAATATTATCATAAATAATAAGGACAAATATTTAAGGTTTTTATTGATTCTGGGTCCTCAATAATACATCCCACAAACTCCTAGCTTCCATTTCAAGAAACACTGCTCAGGAAGATAATTTATTTATGTTCTCTCTCAAGACAAGGGTTGTCAAGCAAATTAATCATGTAAACAAGACTGTAGGTCTCTTTAAACTACTTGAGAGAACAAATATACAAATGATTCAAGTAATGATTACAAATCATTCCTGGCTATTTAGGGCAAGGCTTCCTTAAAGCTCTCCGCTAAAGGTAACCCTTTGTGAATCAGTTTCATAGCGACCATATTTATTTAAAAACGCCTCCTCGCCCCCCATTTGAGAGCCCTCTTGCTGTATCACTGCCCATCTCCAGAGCCTTAGCGACTTGCAGCAATTATGTGTTTCCTTGAAAACTTGCAAAAAGCATCTCCTCTTAGATTTCACTCTTGTCCTGCTAACAATCTAACTACTTATTTTCACCTATTACATTAGTTTGCAATCCTTTTTAGCCCTAAGGTATACAATATAAAGCAACAGCTTTTGATACCAAAACTCTTTTTTAAAAATCTCCATTTGAATTGAATCCACCTTAAAAATTACTGGCCTCAAACCAACAATATGTTTTCAATAAAGTTATCTGTACTCCAGAACATTCTGCAAGCTATACTAAAGCACTTACTAAAATAAGGTACAAATAAGATAGAAGATCTTAATAATAGAAAACCTACTCAGCAACAAATAAACTAGTCTTGTTTGTGAATATAGTATAGTCCTTTTTATGCCCATGAAAACCTCTCTGAGGATTCTACGCTCTGTTGCCATCACACAGATTGCCACAGCATGGACTTTTCTGACAGCAGCTAAAAGAAAATTCAAAACAGATGAAAAACTAATCAACCCACTTACATTCTTGACTAAAATGTGGAAAACTTAATGGAAAAAAAACTCCAAATCTTAAAAGGACTCCTCTGTGAGCAAATATTATAAACGGTCCTTTAAAAGACAGCCTTTGTTAGTTTGGGGATGGTGCCATCATCAAAAATGCATCCCTTCCATTACATGTCAATTATACAATTAAAAAAAAAAAGAGAGAGAGAGAGAGAAAGAGAAAAAAATGTGTCCCATCCTGTTTGATGTCACATGACAGCAAGTCTGAAGACGCCTTTGCCCTCTTAGAAATCATCAAGGACCTCAAAGAGGTTTTGTTTATATGGGTTATAACTATCAATATGTATTCCATCTGAAATTAAAAACTGAGAGGTTTTTAAGATACTTACTAATTCATTTAAAAAGACAATAATAAATCTATTACATGTTAATGTAAATAGCATATTTTTTAACTTTTAAGAACTTTACTTTCCAAAACAAAACAAATAAAATAGTGAGAAGAGTGGCATTGTTTTACATTTTTGCAAATCTCTTTAATGTCCAGCTTAATAGAAGACAGCTGGATTCTCATTCTCATAGATGCTGCTGCATTCGATCTGTTGTGATTCCTTACTTTGGTTGAAGTATATGAAAAAATATGACTTCACACAGACATGTAGTTAGAAAACGGAGGAGTATTCCAATAGCCCTTTTTGGTAATTGTGGATATTCTTATTTGATACTAAACCAAAACTTGACAAATAGTCGTTTCTTAATGGTTGATTGCAACGTGAAATACGAAACCATAGCAATGAATTTTTCATACGCAGTTACAATAAAATGCACTAGTCTATCTTGCACTTTGAATGGATCTTTTACGTGTGCGTGACTGTATAACATTATGCATTGGTCATTTAGAAAATATTATTTCACTGACATATGCAGAAAAGTGTTGACACTGTTATAAAATATTTAAAAATCATATTTGTTGGGCCGGCCCTGTGGCTTGGTGGTTAAGTGCGCGCACTGCAATGCTGGTGGCCCGGGTTCGGATCCCGGGTCCGCATAGAGGCACCACTTCTCCGTCCATCCTGGGGCCGAGTCCCACATACAGCAACTGGAAGGATGTGCAGCTATGACATACAACTATCTACTGGGGCTTTGGGGGGAAAAAATTAAATAAATAAAATCTTAAAAAAAAATAAAATAAAATAAAATAAAAATAAAAATCATATTTGTTTATATCACTACTTATCTCATCTTATCTGATGAGTCTTTAAATATTTGGAAGCCGTCAAGCTGTCACAGTGGCAAATACAAATTTTCCATAATTCTAATTTTCACTTAAAAGCCAGAATTTTATCATTGGCAACAAATATAGTCACTTGTTTCCTTAAAGTGACAAGCTCACTTCATTCCTTTTTGAGAAAATGTCTGCCAAATGCCCAAGAGTTTGTCTGTCAATGGTTCTTTGAAGTAAAAATGGTGTCCCATGAAAAAAACAGCTAGTTCAGCTCACAACACAATCACTGAAGTGTTTTGGTAAGCAACACAGTGCTTTTGGCATACTGTCCATCTTGTCACACATATTATTAAAAAGATGTATATTCAAAGGTTGAGATTTAATAAAATTAATAATCTTTACTGTTTCATCAAGGACATTTTTAAACAAAACTGATTTTTTTTAACAGCTAATGGTGCAGAATACAGTAACTACTAGCACAGTTTGGAGCCACTGGTGCTCAGGCGCCAGCAGTCTTACCCACCACTGCTCTGGCACCATCAGTGCAAACATCCACACAGTAAAAAAGACAATCTCTTAGTATCATTGTGAAAATAGTTTTGACCTTGCGGGCTCTGTGAGAGGGTTTCTAGAACTTCCAGAGGTCCAGGGACCACACTTTACGAACCACTACCATAGGACACATACTCTAAAATTTCTATTTGAAAGTTGCATATTGCCAAAGATTAAGAAAGTCAGATACTGGGCCGGCCCCATGGCTGAGCGGTTAAGAGCCCGCGCTCCGCTGCTGGCGGCCCAGGTTGGGATCCCAGGCGTGCACCCACGCACCGCTTCTCTGGCCATGCTGGGGCCACGTCCCACATACAGCAACTAGAAGGATGTGCAGCTATGACATACAACTATCTACTGGGGCTCTGGGGGGGGGGGGAATTATAAATAAAA